GCAAAAGTGACCAAAGCATCAAGTTCTTGGATTCTTGAGTCACAAGAAAGATTCCTGCAGGAGGCAGAGTGCAGAGCCAGGAGTAACCCTTGACACCTGCTGGGTGTGCATCCTAACTCAAACCAAAGTACAAGATTCCTGGATTCACTTGTAAATGTAAAACAAGAGTGCCAGAATCAGTGACTAGTGATGTGGAGCCATGATTAACTCCGTAAAGAAATAAATTAATGATTTTTATAACAAAGCAAAATATCTGTTACTCTGGAGAAGAGCAAATCTCCAAAAAGGGAATATTTTGTAAAAACAGTAATTATTTCTTATATCACATAAAAAAATCATTTGAAAAAAAGTTCTCATCCCAAACAAGAAATTTATGTCATATAAATTAAAAATATATTTTAAAATATTGAGACATCAATGATTTGATTTGATTAAATAGCATCAAATGACATTTTTAAAAGATATTAATTAAATATCTCTAGTGCAGAACCCCCAAGCATTATTCTGACTTATTATTCAAGATTTTCTCTCAACAGGATTATAAAAAGATATTGTTGTAAAAACTTATTGCTTACTCTTTTTCTCCTATACTTTAATATATGCTATAAATTCTAATACAAATTCTTTGACTTTTAAACACAGGTCTGATTACACCTACTTCCTTGGAAGACAGAGTAAGTTCATAAATACATAAAAAAGAATATATGGTAAGAATGCACTGCTTGGATCTCCTTTCAAGATGTAACCTGTGTTTGAACTTTCAGAGGTACATTTAGCTAGTACATCCAGGTGTAGTTGCATTTAGATCTGCTTTTGATTTTGTGCCAAGGTTTCTTTTTCCAGGCATTTGTCTAGCTGAGTGAAGTAGGACAAATGAGGTGCAGCTATTTCTTTGTTCCAGCATTCCCTGATGTATGGGTTGGAACACAATCATAATCTCCATGCAACTGAAGACTTGATTTTTTGCTTGGTTCTTCTTCCTCTCTATTTCCTTTTGCTTATTCTACTTTGGCTTCTCACTCAGAAGCCTCCACCCTCTGCTCCTGCTTCCTTTTCCCTTTGATTTTATAGGTTATTCCTGCCCCTTACCAAAATTTTTTTCTCCAAATTCATATTAGCATCTGTCCTAGGTACACTTGGAATCCTGTTGTATGTAGCTAGAATGTTTGTGTTGCTGATCTCCACCCTACCCCCACCCCCTAAGCACACATGCATTCAAATGGTGAACTTCTAGTACTCAATGAGGATGATATGGAATGGGGGGGTATTGGGAGCTTATTAAAACAGAAAGCTTATTTCTCATCTATATTCTCAGTGTTCTTGTGAAAGAGGCCCCTGTTAGACAGAATGCCCCTTTGCCATGTAATGGATAAAGAAACCCAGCAACTTGGATCAAGTTACTTCAACTGACCATGGGCTTCCAGCCTCTGGAACTGTGAGGCATAATATGATGGAGTTTATAAATGATCTAGTGTTAATCTTGCTCTACCTTGCTAGAGCAGCTTTCATAGATTAAGACTCAGGACTGGAGCCCTATACCACGTGCGAAGGACATTTGTTCGAATTGCTGTGGCAGACAGCAGAGGAAAGGAGAAAGATTGGCTTGGTGTATGATGATACTGAATATACTGTGTGAGGCCTGGTGAGTCACCAAGTGCTACATTTCAAAGAAAGCATGAGAATTCACATCTTCCTTTCCCACAGCCAGGTAGGATTCCAGAGAAAATTGGAAACAGTGGTGGAAGGAAGTTGACACTGGCGATAGGATAGCTGTTAGATCATTATATGCTTTAAACTCAGTCATGAATATCTTTGTAAATAATGGTGCCTCAGTTAAAAAAAATAAAAAGATTCACATCCTTCAGCAAACTATCACAAACTTACTACTGAGAGGGACATGGATAGGTGATAGTAGAAGTCATCACAACTTAATATCCTTGGGCATAACAGAACCTGGTAGAATGTAGGCTAGGAATTACTGTCTAGTTATCAAGTTACAAAGATTCAATCAGATACAGTAGCACAGGTTTAATAAAATTATAGAGACATTATTTCTAAGAGAAAAACAGATGTGCAGGCGATGAAAATGATGAGGTTGTTGTAGTGGTATTGGCGATGGGAGGACACCCTGTGTGTGTGTAAATTTAGTGTATGTCAAAATGAGATGGAGGGCTTGATAAAATAGAGCACAATTTTCTAGGCCCTACCTTAGAGCTCTGAACTGAATAGGTAGGGCAAGGCACAGTTACCACACAATGACAAATCACAAAATCACAAATCATCCTGTTATTCGTCGATTGCCTCGAGCAGGCCCCAGTAACGTCTCTTTCATCCTAGCCCTGAGATTATATTCAAGGCTCTTTAGGAGAACCATCATTGTTTCTGCTATTTGGCATATTGGGTACGCCACGGGGAGTTTGCCAGACTCTGCCGTGTGGACAGGCTACATTCGGTAGCCTGCCAGTTTGTCCAAAGTAGGAATGAGATAATAAGATGTCATAATAAGATTTCCGGGAGCTGGTGTGTTCACCACACAATGACAGACCATCCTTATTTGACACAGTCCTGATCTTTGTGACATTAACCTCAACTCAACCAGAGTTCAGCTAAAGAATCTCATTCTCTTATACAACACCATTCAAATTCCAGTTGCTACAATTTGACTGAACACAACTGTGTAAAGCTTCCCTTGGAGCTCTGCAGTTCATGGAGTGCAACATGAATAACAAGTATCCATCATGCAGTAACCAATCACTTCCCTTTTTTTCAGATCCCAAGGATGCACATTTGCTATTCAGCTCACACACAAATAGCAACATATGTGATTGAGGCATCTATTTTTTTCCTTCTGAATAATCCACATGCTCTCTTACAACAATGCATAATCAAAAGGGGGATTTGGCAAATGAAAAAGCAAAAAGTGACCATACTGGAATGGTAATTCTAATCAGACAACATAAAGTTAAAGAACAAATCTCTGACTGTGGGGATTTTAAACTGCCCAAATTTAAAAAAAAACAACTTTAGGGATGCAATCTGAGAAAATTAGTGAAGAGGAATTTATCAACATATAAAATAAATGTGGTTTTTATGAGAAGGATAAATATGTTGGTCGAAAGACTGCATTTAAAGACCCCCTCAGTGGTAGATCATGACATTAAAAGAACAAAGGAAAAAATGCTAGAAGGTGATCCAAGTTTAGGCTGGAGTATACCAATTTCTCAAGCTACAAAGATATTCAATCCAAAATTGACACTGCACAGTAAAGAGTCAAGCACTGTACAAAGTGTTTTGGTGTCCTTTTCACAAAAATATTAGTGCTTTAATCCTCAATATTTTTAATATTTTAGGGGCCAGAGAGATGGAGGCTGACCTAGGTCTGATCCCAGGCATCCCATATTTTCCCCTGAGCACCTCCAGGAGGAATTCCCAAGTGCAGAACCAGGAATTGGGTCACCACGTGTGACCCAAAAAACATAGCACAGAGGGTAAGGCATTTGCCTTGCACCCGGCTGACCCGGGTTTGATTCCTCTGCCCCTCTCGAAGAGCCTGGAAAGCTGCCAAGAGTATCTTGCCCGCATGGTAAAGCCTGGCAAGCTACCCATGACATATTTGATATGTCAAAAACAGTAACAAGTTGTACAATTTGTTGTGAGATGTTACTGGTGCCCACTCGAGCAAATCGATGAACAACGGGAGGACCACGGTTTGTTTAATGTTTTAAGTTAAAATTTAGTACTCTAAATAAATGTTAGTAAAAGAAGAAAAATAAGTTTTACTTCTTTCAATTTCCTTACTAGCATATCTAACTGACAGGAGGATTGTAGGATAACACTGTTCTGTCCTTCCTGCATAACCTCAAGAATAGTTGATAGTTGATAGTTATTGGACTGAGGAAAAGAGAAAAACACCTTAAGGAGGTATTTTGCCTCCTTTGGTAGTCAGGAACTTTCTTTTGTTGATTTGGCTACCTGACGGGGTGGAGTGTCAGGCCTGGGTGGAGTGTCAGGCCAGACTAGAGGGAGTTGGAGACACGAGAGTGGAGAGACAAGGGAGCTGGAGAAAGAGAGCAGGGCTGCAAGATGCAATACGGAGAGACTAGCAAGGGAAACATGTACTTGAGAGAACCTAGGCCCTCCATAACATAAATTTCTTCTATGGGATAAACTTTCTTGTAATAAACTGCTACTTAGATCAACCGGCCTGGCCCTCGTCTCTTCCTTCGTCTGCCCTTGGCCAACAGCCATCCTGATCCAGGCCACACACAGCGGCTCTAGGGCACCGAATGCAGGCGGTGAGATAGAGCTGTTCAGAGAGCCCACGAGCACACAACCTTCTGCGTGTTTAGTTTTTTACAGAGGATAATACTCTTTTTGTTTTTGTTTTGGGGCCATGCCCAGCAGTGTTCGGATTTACACTGGCCCTATCTCAGGGATCAGTCCTGGTGTGCTCAGGGGACAATATTGTGTGCTGAGGATTGAACCCAAGTCTGTTACATGCACAGAATACACCCTAACTGCTATACAATCACTCAGGCCACAAAGATAGTTTTTAATGGTTGAGAATTTTTCCTTTTGATAATGAAGATTATTTTACATGATTTTAGCTTTGCAAAGTAATAAACTCACTTTACTGACCAAATCAAATATTCTCCAAGGATGCATGCACGTGTCTATATTGTCTATATAAGCACATACATATGTTCTTTATATAAGAACAAAAATGAAAAGCATGCAAAGGGCATTATGTATACATACGGATAATGAAAAAGGATCAACACTATAATACATAGACAGTATAAAAATTCTTTTCATCTCTTCCCCAAAAAGGATACAAACTCAAAATATCTCATTATTTGACTTAATGTTTGATTTGGGAGCCACAAATAGCATGGTTTACTCCTGGCTCTGTGCTCAGGAATCACCCCAACCTTGCTTGGGGGACCTGTGTGAGTCACATGCAAGATAAACACCTTACCCCCTGCTTTGATATTGCCCCCTCAGAAAGAGCTCAAATACAGTCCCTCACTACCATAAAATAAATAGTTAAATTTCCCACAGTTTGGGAAATCAAAGGGGTGAGCACACCCAAGGTGTGATGGATAAGCCTCATCCTGGGGCAGGGAGGTGTGTAGGAGGAAACTTGTGATCCCCTACCAGGTAAGTACAGCTCCAATTATTTTTGGATAAAAATAAAAAGTGCAAATCCTTGAAGCTTAAGTGGCATATGTCTGAATGGAAATGTGCCCTTTAGTCATTTCTTCAAGTTGTCCGTAAGTTCTTGAAGAACACTCTCGATCTACATGAGGGAGTTATTCAGCAACATCTGTGAGCAAAGTTCCTTTTGGGGACTGTGCCCTGAGCGACATGACTACTCCAGCCTTCACCTGACTCTAGCAGAGCGCGTGGAGGACCAGGCTCTGCCTTTCTCTGTCCGGGTGGCCTTCGGCTACCCAACAGTCTTCACCAGTGCTCAGAACCTTTTCAGTAACGCAGATCATGCGTAGGGCTTCTCCTGCTTCTTTATCTTTCTTCTCATTGTTCCTTCCCTGCTTTAAACACCCTTAGAGGCCTGCACTCATCGGTCTCAGTTTTGCTTCCACAAGGACTGTTCCTGCCATAATGCATAACAGATCAGATGGTAGAAGTGGGATGGGTGAATGGCGACTAACTTAGCAGCTTGGAGAAAAGTGATCTGAAAAACCGTAGACATGATTTATATGCCTGAACCCCAGCAAAACATTTGGCATGGCAAACCCCAAGTTGCAAGTTGGAATGAATTAAATTGAGATCAGGGGAAATAAGATAAATGCAAGTCTCCTGTTTAAAAATGTTTACTCGTTTTCCCTTCTCTCCCTTCAGGCCAGGTTCACATGTGAACTGCGTATAATTTAGAGTAAACGGAAATGGTCAAGGAAGAGGAAAAAGGGTAATGCTGCAGAACTAATATGTAACACAACCATGACATTATTTACAATTGTAGTTTTAAATGCAGTTTTATTGATAAGAAGCATGTTTGTATGTCATGAGGAAGGAGTTACAGGACAATCTGTGTCCCTTCAAAAGTCATGTGTTGAAGTCTTAACCCTTAGTTCCATGGAATGTGATTACATTAGTAAAGTAAAGGCCCTCCTGTTGATCATCGATTTGCTCAAGCGGGCCCAGTAACGTCTCCATTGGAGAATTTGTTGTTACTGTGTCTGGCATATCGAATACGTCACGGGGAGCTTTCCAGGCTCTGCCGTGCGGGCGAGATACTCTCGGTAGCTTGCCAGGCTCTCCGAGAGGGGAGGAGGAATCGAACTCGGGACGGCCATGTTGGCTGCATGCAAGGCAAACGCCCTACTGCTGTGCTATCACTATTACATTAGGTAACAGAATCAAATGCTCAAGTGTGAAGTGTTCTGGCTATAGGGGGAAGATAAGGAAAGGCTCTGATGGTGTAATACAATGGGATCACTTACAGACAGACAGACACAGAGTATGAACATTTTCTAATTATCAGTCAGAAATCAGGCTCATGTGCATATAAGCAAAGGAGGACCAGAGGTTGACATTAAACCTCCCAGGAGAAATGTCTGGGCCACCCTCTCCTTCACAGTTCTCAGAAGGAACAAAGTGCAAAATACTGAACACAAACTTCTAAGCATAGAAAACATGAGACACTAAATTCCTTGTTTAATTCCAACAGTATGTAGGATTTTGTTTTGGCAGCCTTACCAAGCTACACAGAAGCAGCATTTCATATAATTAAAATTCAAAGTCAGTCTTCCCTATCATAAAAAAAAAAATCCCAACCTGCAAATGTTCACCTGTTAATGATGAAATGTGATGAGATTCTTGTATTTTATCTTTGAAAATGTCTTTTCACAAAGACAGGCAGGGACAAATACCAATATAAATCAATGCACATATGATTTTAATTGAGCTTATTCAAGACTTAGAAGGTACTTATCACATTCTTTCATATTCTTCCATTGATATTTGCCTTTAAGCACATAATTTTGTTGCAGATTAATCATTTCCAATTGCAGGTTAGGTAGAAGCTCTTCAATTGAACAGATAAATGTATTTTGAAATATGGAAATTTCTTTTTACTAATCCTAGGGCCAAAAAAAAAGCTACTGGTAGTGCAATTTGAGCTCAGAAAAATATATGGTGGTAATCTCACTTTCTATTTTAACTTTTGATACATGGCACATATATAGACTAGTTTGACATTACTGTTGATTCCAGCAACATTAGTTTTCATATAAAGGCCATTGTAGTCTACAGTTAGCATATGGGCACATTTTGCCTTATAATTTTCATGATCACGATCATGATCATCCTGTTGCTTGTTGATTGCCTCGAGCAGGCACCAGTAATGTCTCCTTCTTCCTAGCCCTGGATTTTTTAAAAAGCCATATTCAATGCTCTTTCAGGGCTAGGAGAATGAGACCTATCATTGTTACTGGTATTTGGCATATTAGAAGTTTGCCAGACTCTGCCGTACAGGCAGGATACTTTCGGTAGCCTGTCAGGTTCTCCAAAGTAAAAACGAGATAATAAGATCTTTTGGGAGCTGTGTTTTGTAGTCTCTGGGTCTTAGCCGTTGATGAGACCACCTGGCGCCAGCAGCAGCTCGTGAGTGTAATGCCTACCTACTGGAAGATGGGGAATTTGGGTGGAGAAGGCCCAGTCCCGGTCTGAGCTGGCTTGGAGAACTCAGCCCCAGAACCCGCATGCCTGGGTTCCTCTGCCGGTTCCTTCATGCATGAGACTTATAATTTTAGACTGAATTTATTCAAATATTATCATCAAGCTAATTTTCAAAGACCATTATCAAAAACTAATTTTCAAGTTCATTCAGTGATGACAATATTAGTTGAGGGCAGTTTTTTTTGTAAGAATGTTAATTTCAGCTCTGATTCCCCAAACTAATGGTAAAGCTACATCAAACAACTGTTCACTAAAGAAAGGCCAAACATTAAGTTTCTATTTCTGCCCCAAACTAATACTCAGTAAATGCGTGACATGAATTGAAATTCACCATTGGCACTGCTGATTAGGTCCCACATGAATGAAAATAATTGCTAATTAATTGATAATTTCACAATCCCTATAAATTTATCACCTGATAAATGACACAACAAATAACCATGATTGTAAAAAATTAGTCTTTTGAGTTGTTTTTAATCTGTTCAATTCGTCCTCTTTTAATCCCACACTTATTTTTATACTATCAGCTGTGATATATTTCAGCAAATACTTCTTATATTTCAATAATTTTTTTTCTCGAATAGTTGAATGCTATTCTCTACACAGACTTTTCAAAGAGAATTATTCTTCTAAATTTCCAATCCATCACTAACTTCTCAAACTAACACAACAACTGAATATTGTCAATATCACCTGTCAAGCCATCAAGAACTTAACAACAACACTTCAATTTATTCTTGCTTTTTAATTGACTATTGATGTTTCTCTTGATGACCCCAACTTGCATCGTCACCATTCAAACTTAAGGTTAATAGTCTTAAGTTTATTTTCTCTGCTACATTTCTTCAGATTCCTTAATCAAACATGATTTAATTTAAGTGACCAGAGGTAACTCTTTCTTTGTTCTTCCAAGTTCCCTGGATACTTACTTTGGTTGCAATCCAATTTTAATGTGGGTATGAAAAAATTCTATTGGTTAAAAAAAATATAGTTTGCATTTTTCTGATTATTTTTGTGAATTTGGAATAGTATTATAAACGCTAATCTTGTAATATCAATGGATGTCACATTCATATTGTTCAAATACTGTATAGTTGTATAAGACTGATGATGTTTTTCCATATATTTTGTAGCCGTTGTCATTTGCTTGAGCGGGTACCAGTAACATCTCGCAACAAATTGTGAGACTTGTTACTGTTTTTGGCATATCATCACAGGGAGCTTGTCAGGCTTTGCTGTGCAGGTGAGATACACTCTGTAGCATGAGATACACTCTGTAGCATGCCTGGCTCTCTGAGAGGGGCAAATGAATTGAACCCGAGTCTGTCATGTGCAAGGCAAGCACTCTACCCACTGTGCTATTGCTCCGGTTCATCAATTTGCTCAAGCAGGCCCAGTAACATCTCCATTTTTGAGACTTCTTGTTACTGTGATTGGCATATTGAATATGTCACGGGGAGCTTGCCAGGCTTTGCCACGCGGGCGAGATACTCTGGGTATCTTGCCAGGCTTTCCGAGAGGGGTGGAGGAATCGAATCTGACTCTGCCGAGCTGGCTGCACACAAAGGCAAACGCCCTACCACTGTGCTATTGCTCCAGCCCATAGCTCCAGTCTGTGAAGAAAATAATTAGTACTTCCTGTACTATGCTTTTGAATTTGTTCTTATCTGGGGGAGGGTGCAGAGAGATCTTCCACGAAGTACTCAGGAGGCCCTGAATTGCTGCTGATAATGTTCAATCAACCTAGCCAAGTGGTTTATTTCTTGGATCTTGCTATGTGGTAGAGATCAGGCCCAGCAATTAGGGTCACCGATTACACCTGGGAGTGACCTGGGACCCTGTGCTACTAAGAATCAAACATTGGTCCCTCAACCCCAAGCTATCTCCCATCTGAAATCTACTTTCATCTTTTCTGTTTTCTTCTTTAGATGGGATGGATATACACTCAGATGGACAAGGCAGAAAAGTTGTGTGACATTCAAAATGCTGTAGAGATGCAGTTACATCACAATAACCTATCTTAACAAAACATAACTAGAACACACATACAATCTCATTCATGATTGTTCAGCTAGTAAAACTGATGGTATCAGGGGAAAAAATCACCAATGTGCAATAAAGGAGCAAGTAAGTTTGGTTGGATTCTAGTAACATTTTATTTATAGTCACAGAAATTTGAAGTACGCCTAATATCCATGCTTCAAAATAGGCTCTCTTTTCACTTTTTAAAATTATTTCACTGTCTGCACTGCACCGTCCTCCTGTTATTCATCAATTTGCTTGAGCAGGCCCAGTAATGTCTCCATCGTAAGACTTGCTGTTACTGTGTTTGAAATATTGGATAAGTCATATTGCCTAGCTTTGCCATGTGGGCGAGATACTCTTGGTAGCTTGCCAGGCTTTCTGAGAGGGGCAGAGAAATCTAACCTGCCTCAGCCGGGCCGGTTGCAAGCAGGGCATATGGCCT